ACATTCTTTCAACTGAACAGCAAAATAAGCACAGTGCAAACGTCATATCTTTCTCACTCATCTGATGTTTGATTGTCCACACCCCTCTCTGAATAAAAATCTAAACCATACACGTCAGCTAGTTTGAATATTGGAACTTCTGCTGAGAGCCTATCAAGTGAAAATATCAGAGAAACAGAATCATTTTCCTCTAACAAGGAACTTTAGAGGTAAAGCGGTTTTCTTTATTCTAATAAAGCTACACGCAGCTTCACTGTAGAACCTTTACCTAAAACTTCGAGCCCCACTCCTGCCTGGAGTCATATGACAGATTTAAATAAACAGTGCACATATCTTCACAAGTCACAATATTTATATAACCAATGCACAAAATAGATTACCAAGGTAAATTTCTGCAGTGACCAAATAAGAACATTGTGTCTGTGTAAGCACTTCATAAATACACTTCCCTGGTTCACCACTTGAAATTTAACACCCAAATGGGGTTTAATGAATGAATCAGAAAAATCACAAACTTTGAAGACACAGGAAACAGAGCTTATAAATAAATACTGACCAGAGACTGAACTACCATTGATCTGGACACAAAGCTCCCATTTATTTTAACTGGAGCTCTGCATGCAGAATGGTGGCAGTGTCCTTTTTAATGACAGTGAAGCTCAAAGAGTCTTCGCTGCAAGATCTCATAAATGGTTGACAACATTGTTATGAATCAGACCCGCAAAACCATTTATTTCAGGTCAGTGTCTTCCCCCTCCCCCAGTACCTAAACAATGTTGAGTTACAGTAGAACTCCCAACCAATTCAGTTACTTCTAATACACCTCTACCCCAATATAACACTGACCTCGGGAGCCAAAAAAAATCTTACCACGTTATAGGTGAAACCGTGTTATATTGAACTTGCTTTGATCCGCCAGAGCACGCAGCCCCGCCCCCCCGGAGCGCTGCTTTACCACATTATATCTGAATTCGTGTTATATCGGGTCGTGTTATATCAGGGTAGAGGTGTAGTTATAATTGTATTCTAGAACAATAAATTCGTTAGACTCGTGGCTACGACACTTAATGTTATTCGAACACTTCTGGATATGAAAAGCACGGGGTTAAAATTAGCTTTTAATCATAGAAAAATGATTAACAAAGAAGGAAAATATCATCTTGTTGACATTTTTGTTTACCATCTTCTCAAGCTGATGGACAGTGGGTCTGATTCTTCACTTCCTTGCATATTTAGTTTAGTCAATTAGACCAGGTAGATATGAAACCTTAGATACGAAACACTAGCATTCTGATACACTAGTGTTCTACACTCACTATGCACTGGAGTGACAAGACAAGGTGCAAAGCAAGAAACAGGCACTGTGTTTTCATTGCTAGTCTTTTAAACTTTCACTTGCACTCTGATTTGCTTATTTCTGAATGGGGAAATTGGCTACAGAGAATTTATCTTTCTGGAAGAATTTGAATCTAATAGCCCCACTCCAGGCAAAAACTTCATAGACTGTGAAATGTCCAGATGGAGAGGGAAGTGAAATAAAGGTCTCAGAACAAATATTTACTAAAAATCTGAAAAGCCACTAAATTAGGTTAACGCATAGCATAGTTAGTGGGACCCTTGCAAGCTACTTGTATTTGGGAAGTGCAGTGCTGATTCCAGGTGCCGTCCTAATGCACTAACATGGCTCTTAAAA